AGCATTGCATACTGTGAGCCCGTTTCATTGCAATTTGGCATTCACATTCACCACTTACAACTCGCCTCTATCTTTCCCCACTTTCCTGGAATCACTTCAAAAAAGGTGTCGTTAGAAGTTCTTTATTATCACTTAATAACATAAATTACACTCCGATAAAATGAAGAACTTGCTCTCTATTAATCTATCGCACTAGAAACTCTTTTTATGGGCAAGGAATCATACAAATACGAACAAACCAATAACTAATCGCTCAGTACAAATAAAAACATCAACGAAGGAGCTGGGCAATATATGACCTATGGGACTTTTTTCAAATGAAAAATCATCTGGCGAGTAAATAACACATAAAACAGCAGTAACGAAAATATTATACTGAACTGGTAATGGCGATGTCTCGAAAATAAAAAAAAGAAATCGACACGGATCAATCGATTGCTGACATCGATCCATACAGGACACTCGATACTGGAAATGGAACGAGAACGAGGCAAAAAAATAACGAAAGTGATGTCTGTGTGCACGTGGGGGAGCGAATGAGCGAACCGGAAGACCACCCGTGGTGGCAACTGGGAAATTCCGAGTTGAGCTGCCTACGGGATATCTCATCTACAGGTGAATTCCAGGACGTTCTTCGACAGTCGCTCTTCCGCTGGGGAAGACATGAGCCCACACTAGAATTTTCATTTCTACACTGCTTGTATTGCTAAAAAGAACAGACCAACGAAGACGCGATGAAAAACTCACTCCCAAACAATAAATAAATATGCATACAAAATCATCAAATCATTGCAATGTCACGCAAAACTGGAAGACATAAATTGAACTTTCCCCGGGTTGGAACACAAATAAAGAGGAAATGGTTGTGTGATCACGACCAGCAGCAGTACTATGAGGGCTGACCGTGACAGCAGCACACGGAAATAGAGACGAGAAGTTACAAATAGGGAACGAGATGGGAATAAGTAAGAACTACCGAGGAGAAACACATGGATTGGTGAGCTGGATGTCGAATGTGAGGGGCGGAGTCTAAGTGATCCACTACTTATGCTTGGACGCAGGGGTCGAGCATGTCGTCGACGGCGTCGGCGTCAGGAAGAGGTCGGGTCGTCGCTGGTGCTCAATGACTCCAGGACCACCCAGCGGTGGTTGCCAAACCTCATAGCCGAGCTTTATCAACTCGCCGCTGATCATGTCCAGTAGCGTTTGTGGTGTGTCTGAAAATTTTCGTTGACCGGAAGCAAAAGAAAGTAGAATGTCATGGGCAGGCATCAGCTTTCAACTGACCTGGCTTAAGGAACGCGAATACGGATCCGCCTCCACCCGCACCGGTCATTTTCGGGTGAATACCATATCTGGCGAGAGTGGTGCAAATCTGGTCCACTTTTGGATGGCCGACACCCAATCCAATTAATAGTTGATTATTTATTCGACAGAGATCCTGAATAAAATCGAGATGAGTTCAGAGTTGAGGGTTAACTCTAGGACTAGATCATGTCCATCGCATAAAAGCATCACAACATTAACAAGAAACAAACACAACTGAAAGCAAACAAAACAAAAGTTGGGGGTTAACACTGCGTCACTCAAAGTATTAGCTGCTTCCTCATCTGGAATATTTTTCAAAATTCGTTCACAACTAGAGGTAAGAGATTGAATGATGTAGCACTTCAGAACTGCACCAGCAACACTGCTGATGTCTGTTACCGGAACTTTTCATTTTTTTCAATTATGTATGATTCATGTCAGAAACTACAGAATCAGCTGTGTCCGGCACGAGAACGTCAGTTTGTTTCGTCGATTTCATAAAGCGAACCGAGAAACAACATCGACTGACGGACGAACAGTTACAGGACGACGTCGCGTGCGACCATACGACGTCGCGCGCACGGAACAACCACTTACGTTAAGCTTGCTGAACGTGTCGACGAGTTCTCCTTTGTCTGATGTTGCGGAAACCGCAGAAGCCGAGCTGCCACGCTTGCCGCCAGCCACATACGAGGAGAACGTCGACGAACGCACGCTTCCGCCACGATTCGGCTGAAATCACGGAACGACACGCCTCACAACGCAACCGACTCGAAGCGCTGGTGTGGCAAAGTAAAGGTCGAGAGAGCAAGAGGGAGAACGAAAGAAAGAAAAGTAAAACAAAACATAAGAATACTTGTTATTTAGGAAAAAGGGACGAATGTAAACCTTTAGCGTCAGTTTGCCGAGAAGGAAAAAAAATTCGTTGTACCAGATCTACCTTCTCAACGCTTGTACTTTTTGCAAAATTCTCAAGAAGTAAATGTAAAATATGGTGACTACAGTATGAGTGAGAAAGCAGAAGTAAGGGATCCAGACCGAATTTTCATTCACAATTACTCCCATCCACGAATTCGGCAATCAGATGGGAACCTTGCGAACAGTTTGAGCATTCAGTTCTTGAAACCTTTGAGGTACAGTAACTTGTCTAAAATTCAACGCGAAGGCGATACGTCGTAAGAAGAACTACGAGAGATAAGTTCGAGAGTAAAATTCAGTATTCGAATCATCATTAGCAGTTACGATAGTTGAAAGAAAATCTTAGAAACCGCAGTTTTCGGCCATTCGAGACGAGAAAGCCGTCCAAAATGAGGGAGTTAGTTTTCACTCGGTAAGTAGTCACTGGTTTCAAGTTAAAGTCTCATGCAACAGTGAAACTCACAAAAAGTTTCAGCAATATTTTGTTATTATGCTATCAAGGGTAGGCTATGTACATAAGATGTGAGATGAAAATTGGCTGACAAACTCAAGTGACAGAGCTCCCTCAAGCTACGAAGGAAAACCGAATCGGATCGGCAGCTAGTACAACACCAGCGGTACATACTACGAGCGTACAAAAGCGTTAGGTAAGAGATCGTAACGAGAGTCCGGTATTCAAGAGGATGGGGCGTACCTGAAGTGAGTGGTGATCGTTGTCTGGAACGGACGTGCCGTGGCCGCCATTCACAAGCTTGTCCAGCGTTTCGCCATTTTCTTCTGGTGGTCGATGCAGAATCTTGGCTGCTTCCCGTGAAATTGCGTCAATTGACGTAAATATTCCTTCGACCACATCGGGGAACTGAAACAGTAGAGCTGGAGTGTGAAGAATTGTTGTATTTATAGAATATCGGTAGGGTAGAGGAGGTGAAGAGGCAAAAGGTGCATTATCATACACACATGGTCACGGGTCGAATCCCTGATCGATACTTGCCTAGGGCCAACCAAGCCTTCAGTGAGATCTAAGGGCAGAAAAATTCGCGTAAACAAATAACTTTACTGAAAAGTCTCTTAATGAAACTTAGAATTTTCTTGCTTGAAATGTAGCCCTTCATTTCACCTCTACAGAACCTGCATACAGCATAGAATCTGACTTTTGTACCAGAAACGCATGTGGTGTTCACTACATAAGTCGGTACCGAAGCTCGGAGTATCGTGGATTGGTGGGTAACGGAACTTCTCCCCTATCGCGGCATTCTCCCTTGCGGCTTGCGGCAAATGTCACTGCAATTACCGTACTCCCGCCAATCGATAGGACGCGGAATTTTTCGTTGATTGCCTTGCTTTTTTATTAGATTTAATCGTTTTTTCTTCTGTTTCTTTTTCGTTTTCGTGTTTATTAGACTTGATTAATTAGAATGACCCCTCCTACATAAACGACGATCAAGACCGCATTGGAATTGAAAAGAGCGGCCAGCCAATTCAAATAATTAAAGGACTCCCTACCTCACAAATTGCGCGCTCCAATATTCCATCGCAATTCCGAGATAGGCGGCGGGTGCGGAGTCTGCGACGCCGTGTTAGGGGAGAAGTTCCCGGACCCTGGATTGGTAGACAAGGTTAGAGCTAGAAACTGAGGGCCCCCTTTTGGTGGGTAGCCGAAGAGCAAGCGAAATGTGTGGGCATCTGCAGCTCTTAAGAAATCCTGATGCAGTTGTGACGGGGACAGAAAAAAAAAGTTTTCGCAGCGGATAAACGACAAAATCTGAACAGAAGCGTTGAAAGTTACCCAGAAAATTAAATTTTAATCTTTCCTCTACGAAAAAGTGAGCAGTTAGCCAGCATTACTTCGGCATGCCTTCTTACCTTTTTTAGTCTTTCCTTGACTGTCTGCACCATCCGTGAGGTGTTTCGCTCCACCTTTGAATTAACCAGAATCACACGAAGATCTGGGAGGCTGAAAAATGCCATTCAGGAGGAATACATTTAGATTAAAGAGACAAAGTGCAACCATGAAACGAATGCAATAGTCAACCTACTTTTTCAGGTGTTCGATTCGGGTACCGGGCTTGAAACTTGCCACGCCTCCTGGAAAATAGATAATTTTTTGGGAAAGAAGTGACAAAAGAAACATTTGGGAGAGACAGCTTACACCACAGAACAGCTGAATGGAAAGAACAGTACACCTCTCCTCATACTGTTTTTATGGCATCAGTAAAACCCATAAAATATTTGCGCTTGAAATTTTAAAAGCCCTCTTATAGAGCGCACCTTAGAGATCGTTCACTTAAGCGCGTAAGCAGAACCACGGCAAGTGCTACAGTAGCCTATAGTAAGGCTATAGATGAAAGAATGACGATCACAAAATTTGTAATAAAATTGATTTATCGAACGTTCTCGATCTCTATCTAATAGTATGAAAAGAGGGGTAACATGCATCCGCTAGTTCATCACATAGACTGAAGTGATAGATCGAAACGAAAGCAAAGTAGGAAGTTGTAGTCTAAAAGAACGCAAAAGCCACCACATACATAGAGTTAGCAAAAACGAAACGATAGTGATCGATAAATCGATCGATAAATAGCATCAACCTCAACACAGCTATGAGGCAAATGATCATCAACTGCGCTAGGAACAGATCGTTAGCATACCATCACAGAACACCTGCATGCTAAAGACGGCGTAGTGACGTCATTTCGAAAACTGATCAACGCGATTTCGACATGATCTCAGAGCCTGACCATTTTACTGGTAACGGCCACGAAATTGTTATGTCAAAATCACGCCGCAATTTTCGGTTGACCAACGGCAGACACCTGCGATATATTCAATCTATACAATTACCATGGCATCCCACATAGCCCAAGTGCGTAAAGCTCTGGTAGCCATAATCCCGGTGGCCTAAAAACGCCGATCACAGAATATCGATTATCGATCGGTCACCATGTTGATAACGATGGTGCTGAGAATTATCGATCACAACGCTCTTTCTCAGTGTTCAAACAAAAATCAACGGTATATCAGTCACGAACACACAACTTCAAAAGCGCACGCAACACGCTTGAAAGTGCTCGTGGTGAGAATTTATTTATTTCTAATCAATAATTATTCGTTTTATAAGAGGAGAGCTTGAGTTCCGGCGAGTTCAATGATGAGACATCGTGAGTGCAAGTCTGACGTGATCCTTGATTCACAAAAAAGAATGAAAGGGTTTCAGTTAAGAGCGAGCTAGGAGTAATTGGGAGATCCAATAAGAATTGGTAAGTTGCCCTATGCAGACATTCGGCGATGTCGTCAAGGTGAGAGGTTGCCAACAGGTGGTAGAGCAACCGAATCACCTGCTTCGGAGCTTACCTTTCGGTTGGTATAATACGATATGTCTCGGGTAGAACTGTTGTTAACAAGTGATACCACCGATGTAAATCGAGAAGAATTGCTCGAATCTCCTCTTACGTTGGAGCTTTTTTTGGGGTTTTCAAGAAAACTGTTTCCCTATGTTTTTTCTGTTCGGTTCCTCATATGTGATACATTATAAATATATGTTATATATGTAATAATCATTTGTCACGGCGAAATTTTTTGAATGATATGTTCATTCGTACCAAGAGTATGTGGGCACCGCGGCTAATTCAAACTTTGGCGCCAATATTCCCATCGATTAGTGGTTCTTTCCTCGATGACTCTTTCATCATGCCTTCTTGCGGTGAAGTTCTCTCTAAGAAAAAGATGCCTCAGTAAGGCTCCTAACGATGCTGGAGACCCTAGTCGAGAAAACGCTTCTCAGCTCGTTCGTTCACTCACATGTGTCGGAGAGTTCGCCCAAAATTCTTGTGCTCAAAGCTCACTGGAACTTCATCCTTTGAAACAAGAAGAGCTCGAACTGCATCGAATTCATACTCATCTGAAGGCAAGTTTATGCTCAAATGGATCTATCGGTCTCGAGGATGACCGTTCGTGTTCTACTCATTCGAAAGCTCATAGGTCATCTATCACAAGAGGGCTTGAAGAGAGCTCGTTCGGCACAAACTTGCAAAAGCGGAATTTGCGCGATAAAATGGCTGAATCGTGAAAAAAGTGCAGTTTTTTCGGAAAAAGGGTTGACTGTCGAATAAACAAAATCTCACACATATTCGTGATTGGGCCATATCCACCGATGGAAGAAAGTCTGCCCTTGGTGACACGGATGGGTTTCTTTACTATTGGAGGGCCTCTCCGCGAGCCGCTCGTGTTCTCGAAGAAAAATTGTCCAAGTTAGCTTCGGAAACATCGAAAAATTAGAGTTCGCCTTTTCATCCTCCACTGTTATGAGTAGTAAGGAGTATCAGGAAGTGCTTCAATTTTATCTTTTGCAATTCCTGAGGTGTGGGGCGACGCAGGACGCATGTTTCGCAGCAAAACAAAGTCCCAACGCTGTAACCCAACTTTAACTCATACCGATCTCAATTCGACGTATTTGCCTCAACAATCTTCAATGCAAAATCATACGTACATATGTAGGTGAGTAGGTAATATTGCCTTTTTGAGAAAAATCAATGAGGCAACTATCAACCTTGTTCGGAGCGTGCTAATTACATCTTTAATTTTATTTGCATATATGTCTGCTTTGTGTATTGTGTCCACATACTATTGATGTAAAGAATTTTCTCTATTCATGGATCAAAAAAAAATTCATGCAGGCTATCAGATATTGAGTGCCTCGAGAAGCACATACGAGAATTCGGATGACGGTCGCACTACGACACAAAAACTGAAGGTATTTTCATTGACTAGAATTTTGAAGTGCCTACATATTTCTGGTATGCAGTGTACTATCGGGTAAATGTTCATAACTCTTACAATGAATCCCATTCACTGTTTACTATCCATCAATAATAGTCGCCTAAAGCCACAGTTCACGACAGGAATAGAAACTCAGGAGATAGTGCATAATATGAGTCTCACTACCAGATTCGTCGACGTCCACACCCATCGACCGATTATGTGTCAGACGAGTGTCGAGGTGATATAGGTTGCGCTCGTCGCATCAAGAACCACACGTTCAGCACGGAATCAACTGATCGCTGAGGAGTGGGGTAATGTTCTCCTCTTATTCTGTTATTCTTTTTGCTGCAGCTGTCATTTTTCTACTTCCTACCTTAATGGGATGAAAAAGGTGGGTTTTTTTGCTATTAATATTGCTCTTGTTAGCTTGTGCTTATGAGTGAATGAGTTTTGAAAGACATTCTCGCTTAGTACATTTTCAATTTCGTCAACTGTACAATGTGCGTCATGGCGTACGTGGGGCTCCTGATGCGAATGGCTGACATAGTCAGGACTTCATTGTACAGTTAGTCCAAACGTCCCTTCTACTTCATTATTCTGATCTTACTCTCGTCCAGCCCCAGGCTTTTTCGAAGCTTTTTATCACTTTGACAGCGCAGTTCGCGGGCTTTCCTCACCTATGTCGCACTATTTTCCACCTTTTCATTCTATTTTCGTCATAATCTGGCTAACCCAAACTTATCGTGAACCATGCCTTCAGATGAAACTTCTTTGCTACCTTCCAAGAAGCGAGTTTCTCCTCAATTTGTACATTTTGAAGTGGTTTCCAAGTATTGATATCACACTGCACTCTTATCATACATGAATGACATAGCTGGTTTTCAAGCATTGAAAAGTCAGGAACAGAAATGTAGAAGGATGTTCATGAACTTTTGGCTGCTCCTGTACTTTGTTTCTATTTTAACTCCTGCCACCTACTCCCACAAGATGGAGTTTCTACCTGGAGGGCACATGGATCGATGTCGTCCTTCCTATATGGCTGGAGAAGAGCACTTGTGTTAGGAATGCTCAATCAGTGCGGTCGTCAGTTCAGTTCAACCTTTACCGCAGTTTTTGTAGAGCTTAGAAATGTTTGAGAACTTGCCAGAACCCAAGCCTCCGCACACATTTGCAGCGATTGGCTCAAAGTAAAAAGTATAAGTAGTGTTGAAATTTTACCCTATCTTTATCCTAAACTGCATGAGTTTAGGTCGATTGCAGGATGAGGTGGACTGTTCTACGCACACGATAATTTTGGAGAATTAAGTGGTTTGAAAAAAAGACGCACATAAAAAAGTGTAAATAATCTATTAGAAGTACTATGGAAGGACAGAAAACTGAACGAGCTAATATCTACATGGCAGAATGAAAACAAATAGAAATGATCCATTTGAAGGGCTACTAGTATGTTCTTCTTTTTGAATTCTACTTGAACCTGCCGAGCTTTTGGTGTGTCGAATTCTATGAGATATTTTGTGTACTTTACAATTCTTTCGACAAGGATAGACTGACTCCTCAAGAATTATCCACTTCCTGTATAGTCATGATGAATCACAAGTAGGGAACATACCGTACGTGCACACGGCTGCATCGAGACCAGATGCGCGACCGTGAATCAGGGACTCGGCAGCCGTAGCCCATTTTCGGATCATATCCAAATGCTGATCCTCCCACGTTAAACTACCATCTTCGTCAGTCTACAAAAAAAACCTCTATAGAGAGCAGTTCTTCCTGAATCAGTACGATTACTTACAACAATCGATGGTGAAGGAATGAGACCGCTGGTTTGTAGGAGAGCGGTAGCAATGCATACGCAATAGGCACCTGAAATTATCCGCTCAATCGGTATTTCGAGAATCTTCAAAAGATTAGTCTTCAGAAATTTCGATGAGAAGAATTTTCAATAAACTGGGTAGCTTCGAAGCTCCAATTCCAACTAGCCATCTAAAGAACTCTCAGCAAGCTTCCTCCCACATCAGTTAACTCTTTCTTCTAGTTCATATGCCAATTCCACGTAATCCTACAGATCATACTGTGTGAGACTTCCCAATCAGTCATTTCTGTGCTATCTGAAGATGGGTCTTTTCGGACATGATTGTTGTGACCGGAGTGTTCAAGTTTGGCTCACATCAACTCTCTCGGCGAAATCTCTCTAGGATTAAGCATCACAATGTTTACAGGGCTATTTTATCTAGATCATCAGTTGGTATCTTCAATAATAAAAGAAAAGATTTAAAAAAGTGCAGACAGCTAAGGGAGAAAATGCCTCAAACGTACCCGATGAACCCAGCCCTACACAACTGGGCAATTTAAAGCGAACTGTAGCCTTGACAGCAAGTAGATCCCTGAATTGACAAGAATAGGCATCCTGAGCAAATAAAAAAGTTCTGTGACACGATCAAGATTATTTGAAGAAAAAAGTTGAAAATGTCGAGCACTTCACTATTTAATTAAACTCGTCAAATGATGGCAAAACGGGAAAGTTAGCCACACCCCGGAAGAGAGTTCTTTGAAAAGAGCACACACGTCGTTATAGCGAATGCGTGATAGATTCCGAAAGCTTTAGTGCATAAGTGTTAATCGAGTTATGCTAGGAATAAATGTCCAAGCTTTGTCCACAGTCCGGGACTTGTGACGGCGAAAACACTGGTTAGTCAATCTCTAGGCAAACAGCTCAAGCAATACATCCAAACATGCAACTTACGATGGAACGACGACATCTCCACCTGCTTCGGATTCGACCACCACCGTTTGACGTGCCGCGAAACTGAACCAATACCACAGCACTTTCACAACACGTACACTGCACTCGACGAGAAGAAAGCGAAGGACAAAACTGGTCACTTCACACTTCTTCATAACTACGAGCTTTTGAAAGTGAAATCAAGTATGCTGAATGCATGGTGTGCCCAAGGAAGAGGAAAGTGGCATATGCAAAGCGATAGGAACAGTAGAAAAAGAGGCCCAGATGTGATGGAAAGCCGAGAACAATTGAAAGGAGAATTGATTGAATTGGCAATCAAGTATACCTTTTTCTATGTGCGACACCGAGGAGGAGATACCAGAAAGCCAGAATGGCAAGGTGCTGTACACCGCATTGATCCTCACATGAACCGGACAGCTTCCGAGCGATTGGTACAAGAAGTTCCAGTGATGGAGGCTGTTCCTCTTCGACAGGATGTTCGGCTAAAATACGAAGGTATTTAAAAAAAACAATAATCAACAGAAAAATAGATTACAACAAGACGACCTTCCCTTGCTACCCATAACTAAGAAAGGGGAGTGAGTGAAGAGTAAAAAGGAATCATACGAAAGTCGAGCAAAACTTCAACGTGAGTTAGCAGATCCCCAGATACTGAAACCCTGTCCCATGGGCATTACTATGTGAGACTCACCTGCAAGCCGATCTGCTGCCTTTATAAGATCCTTGAGGAGCCAAGTCTTCTCAACGCCAAGATCCGGTAAACTCAAGTAGATTCGGCCATCTGCTGAGGTGAAAAGGCTCACGTACGTTCGCAGATCAATCGAGCCAGCGATTGCCGTCTAGAAGCACTAATTTCAAGGATCGCAGTACAGCCCTAAACTTCACCGCAAAGCTTCACTGGACGTGTGCATACTCGAAGAAATAGAGGGTCATGTTTATCTCAATTTCTGAACCATCTGTTAGTTTGGCATATATTTATATTTATATTTACCACTTTGTCTACTTTTAGTTTTTACTTTTGTTTTTTAGAACATTTACAAACATAATAATATCCACCATCGCTATCTACAACATAGTGCCAAAATTAAGTGAGCTGCTCGCTTCTCCCGTAGAGCTCCCTTACCTCCTGATCAAAAAAAGACTGGATTCGATTCTATTTGAGTTAATGCCTATTTGGTTTTCCAGGAAGCAACCTAGAGAGCGGAACGTGACATAATCTGTGAGTGCAAGGTCAGGGCCATAGGGTTGATATGATATAGTCCAGCCGACGGTCTTCCATTTTAGTGAATTTCTTAAGCAGTATGAGGTCAAGTGTTACCATCTAGAAAAAAAAAAAACTCGGCCTTGATTTACTCCCAACATGCTGACCACTCGGCCAAGCTATAGCCGAATTGAGCATTAATAGTGGCATTACAAGAGATTTCTCGGTAAGCAACCGCTCCTAAATTTCACTAATACGTAGAAGAACCTCTTCTCGATCAAATTTGGCTTTTGTCGTTGGAAACCCAGATTCGCGGGGGCTGAGCTCTCTTCAAATATTACCATCCAGCTCCTATGCCGGATAGCCAATCGAAGGATGATCAGAAGCTATAGGTAATATCAGTATCAGATAGTATGAGCAGCCGTTGGTGGTTCAACACATACATCCCCAAGGCCCACATTTCCAGATCTTCTCCAATTCATAGAGGCATGTCATCATTATTTGACTGTCTGCCATAAATCGGGTATTCGTTCGAGATGCTATTCAGCAACTTAACAAAAAGCATCGAAATCAGTAGAGTGCTCCATGTGTGAACCATCTTCATGAGAAAATACGCCATTTTCGAATTGACTGCAAAACTCAGTCACTGTTAGTTATTTATATCTTTGCCCGTAATCTGAACATTTTTCTGACCACACTGATGTTCGAACGATCTTATAGGGCAATTCTTAAAAATATTGGTCCAAATGGGTTTTAGTAAAAGTGGTGCCACCTCGATAACTAGCAGCCAGCGCGTGAGCTGGATGAACTCTGCGGATTGCGAAAGTCGATGACAGCTCATTGGGCAAGCGACGAAATTCCAGCGAAGTTCATAAGATTTTTACGACAAATATTGTAAAGTGTTCAGGAGATTATGTGCCAGTCTGATATCAAAGTACGGCTGGTGGCCCATTATGAATGAGAAACCTCTTAGAACGGTTCTATCTTGGAAGAAGTGAATATAGGCGATGTCATTTCGGTAAAACGTGAGGGAAACTTTCTTGGGAGCAAGATCGGTCCAGAAATGGGCAAGCTGTCCATCTGTATCGGGAAAAACTGTGCACCCGTACAAAATGTAGTTACAACTCAGAAAAAAAAGTTTTTCATAAACTGGATGGCACTTTTCGTGAAAAAACAAGGATGCTCCCTCGAGCATCGTGGCGAAATCGCGCACTATTAACCCCCTATGTCGAGTTACTTCCTAAACCCACTGGATGAAAAAGCTTCACAACGTTTAACATTTGAAATTTTGTTTTCCGGTCCGCCACTTTCAGGAAATACCCAGAATCGTAAACATAAATACGTAATGTCTATATAGNAGCGGAACTTTCGGCATTGAACAGCACTCGATCCTCCCGTATGCTATTCGAGTCCAAAAAACAGCAATGGCAAAACAAGCCACACAACAGCTCATTTCACCCACTATTCTTTCTTCACGTTAAGAAGCTCTTGTAAAGAAAAAGTACAAAATGTCGATGATTAGTTTATGATCAAAAAGTTTGTTCCCCAATTTGAAAGTACTACTGCGCCTGTGGTGCTGCAGTACGCGGAAATCAACGGTAAGAAAAAGTAGGAAATGTCAGGTCACTTACCCGTCCATAGACCACGGCATGTTCGCCGAATAAAATAATCTTTCCAGGAGCGGAAACGTATAGTCCTCCATGAGCGCTGCTCAGATTTCGCATAGGACTTGCGTGATTCGACGATCTTGAACAACTACCGCCTGGCGAGTCCAACGCTGAAATGACAGCAGCTGATTTATGTTGATTGCAGTAATTATTGGCATAAAAAGAACTGAAACCTGCCAGCTCCATTTTTAAGGAGAGAAAACCGTTCTTTAATGAAATTTCAAATCGAATTTTGAAATTCGTACTCCTTTCATTGCTCTTCAGGCTCCATCAGTTACTAGCGTTACTTCCAATTATTTTACACTATTTTTGTTAACTGAACGAGCAATGCTCTCACAGCAACGTCCGTACTCAGAGGCATAGTTCGCGATAAGTCTAAGGTATCTGACTCAAAAGAAATAATGAAATTTTTGGTGCAGAATGGTGGAAAAATGGGGAAGAATCGCGGAAAAAATTGGCGGGGTTTAAAAAGTATAATGCTTCGAAAAGGGGTAGCGAAGGGGATTTCACGAGACTTCGTGTCTGTAGCCGTCTGGATGTCTCCCATGTAAGGTACTATTTCTCGGCGTCTTAACGCCTAAATATGAATGGTGCAACATTGACAAGGCTGTCATAACGCGACCACTTTTGGGTGTGTACTTCGGCCAAGCCAACATTTAAACTCTTTTGAGACCCTGACAAGATATTTTTCGTGTCGACAACTTCCCTCGCGCTACCCTTGGGAGTCACAGGTCATTCTGGATTGGAATCTCAGTGACCGTTTTTATTGTGAACTGTGCCTTCGAGCCAACATGCACACTACCGTATCGAGAGCACTAACCTTGTTGTGATCACTTAGTTGGCCGAAATACTATCTAATTCCTGAGTTAGGTGAGAATTCAAAGTTTACATGAACAAAAACACAGCATTTGTAAATTTGTCAATTTAATTAACCAAATCCTTTCTAAATGGGACTATTTCTCGAAACATAGGTTAGTAGAAATGATGTTCTTTTCACTTTTCGCTGCCAGTTTAAGAATATTTGCCCTACTGTGAGTTTTATCAGCATTGTCAAAAATCTATCTATGCACCACATTATATTACTACACTTGTTCTCAATTAGTTTTACAAAATTGCCTTAAATTCATGTTTCTTTGGAATTTTACCAGCCTCACAGGGAGGTCCTGACAATAACATCGGTAAGACTGCATCTATTAATTTTGCTGTCAGTGTGTCAGTTGGCGAAAGAGGATGAAACTGGTAATGGTGTCTAATCAGAGACTCCGTCAGAGATCCCAACACCCCATACCTAGCATTTAGCATTGATTAGAGTTTATGAGGGTGAAGCTAGGCTAAGATTCGCAATAAAAAACAAGGAACGAAGTCCCCAAGCATACGAACATACGGACGCGCCACACAACCCCTTCAGCTGGAATTTCTATAATTATTTGAAGGTGTATTTACACAAAATTATGACCGTTACGGAAGGATTAGAAGCGAAATTGATCTCAAATAGAGAAGACCGAATATCGTGCTAGAAAACTGCTTTGGAATCCAATTCAATGAGGAATCAAAATGAATTAAACAAGTGAGAAAAGTTATTTTGAACAGCTTTATGATTAAAAAAAGCTCCCTGACCCTCTTCGTTAGCCATTTCCTCATCGGGAGGTGATACTTCAATGGACACACTTATCTCCTCCTCACTGCTCGTCATTACTGCACAAAAAGTAGTATGAGAATAAATGAATAATTAACGTATACGCGAAGATACGAATAAGCAGGGGTAACAGACAAAGAAGGCCCGGCATCAAAGTGAACAATATAACAAGGAGGTGACGTTAGAAAGCACCAAAAAAAAGAGAAAAATAGTTAAATTTAAAAATCGATAGACGCTGTTTGCTTGAATAAAACACCTGGGTATCGATTTTGGTGCACCTACTGGACCCGACCTAAAATATTAGGCAAATATCTGAGTATCACCAAACTGAACAGATGAGGTAAAAAATGCAGTTATGGAAATTAGGTTTCTTGAAATTTTATGATTTTAGGAAATTATGGTTATCCCATGGCTTACAAAGAGATATTTTATCTCTGCATATCTGCGACATATTGTTTACATACGACGTTGTCGCCAGTTAGCCATAGATCCGCCCAATTTCAAGCTTCGTCCTTTAACGAAATTTAGAAAATTTCACATTTGAGATGTCTGCACGAAACGGCTGTTCGTTGAGTCACGGAAAGGCTTTCAGAAGTAGTTTCTTCACGATAAAAATGAGCAAACGCTCGTTTTCATTATGAAGGAGTCACAAGTAAAAAAGCATGAAGAGCAAGAAAACAAGAAGAAAAAAGCATTTCTTTCACAATCAGTGACTGTGAGAGAAATTTCTGCCCTGAAATTAGCCCTCAGAATGCATCGGAATGTGAGCGGGTCAAGAGGCCCCATAATGGTCGCTAGAACGAAAATAGGACCCCGCATGCAGGGCAGGGGCCATTCCCTTCTCTAACACTGAGCGCTAGGGCGCCACCGTCTCCGTTTCTGCGAACTGTGATGGTGCTTTGAAACGTTTTCAGCCAGAAAAATATAGTTTTCAACTACTTATAGAAAAAGAGGAGCATTGGGGGGAGAGAGAGGAGTGGGAAGGTGGAAAGGAAGGGAGATGATAACCCTGAGCAAAAAGCTGGGATGGGGCAGGATTGAACACTCCTTTGACCAATGACTAATCTCTTTTCAGAATTGTAAACGTTTCCGTGCCAGCATACCACCGTGTCTTGGGATGCTCACTACGGGCAAGAGCCCAGGAAAAGTTCAAACGTGTGGGGAAAGCGGAGTTAGGAGGAATACAAGTACGGATGATTCGTAGATTAGGTTACTCTGAAGAATTGGAAAATTGAGATGACGACAAAGCGGGACTTTGAGTGACAGGACATCAAACATCAGTGCGAAACAATAGGAGACCCCCTGCAAAGGCATCGAACGGAAACCACCCCAAGTGGCTGCTGCTATGAATCAATGACAGCAGCAGTTTTTTTTTTTAGCAAAGGCTGACTCCATCATAGGTGAGTTTCAGAGGAGAAAATTGGCAGTAGCCATCAATAGTCATAGAAGGTATCATTGTATTGGAACGAAATTGAGGAAAATGGAATTGGAAACCTCCAAGAGGGGCTGCCATACCGTCATGAGTCATGAATGCTGCCCGAACCTCTATTTAACCCACAAAAAGTGGGTTGATGAGTCATTTACACGGATGACGTCAAATCGGCTAATGAAAGAGCTATTAGTCATACAAAAAATTAATCTTACAAAAATCATTTCTCAAATGACGAGATGTTCAGTGAGGAATACGTCATGTACCCGAAATTTACATAGGAAAGAAAAACAGAATTTCATTCAAGGCAGTAATGTCCCTTATCGAAACGATCAGCTAACGGCGATAAAATCTACTGGCTACGTGCTATGTCATCACCAGAATGATCAATCAAGCAATAATCGATGATCGGTGGGGAAAAGTGTTTAGCATGGGTGGCAACATGATGCTAATGAGGAATGATATTGCCAATACGGACCATAGAAGAGGAACAGACCATTTAGTGTTGTTCCAAGGCTTCAAAAAAAGGGGAGGTGATAGTGCTCTGATCGTTTGATGAAGGCTGCTATTGCTAGGGCGAATGCCTTGATCTGACAGTCGTGTAACCTTCGGTTGGAGTTGTCCCTGCCCATGCCCAAGGCTCCAAACTTGACACCTGACACTACTGAGAGCCAAAAACTCAATGAAAAACTGGTAATCATGTATATATCTACTACTGTAGGCCGAGGTGGTGTAGTGGCAAGTGGCACATGGTCACGGGTTCAAATCTCGGATCGACATCCGCCTCGACCAATCGACCTTCCATCCTTCTGGAGTCGTTCGATTGGTACTAGACTCGTCTGGGATGATAAAAGCACTGAATTGTACATCGGCTGGCCAAGGCAAGCCATGTATAGGCCACATACGCATTCAATACGCCACTACGATTCCGGATGGAAGTTGGATGCGTGGGCGCATCCCTCAGAGGTGATTGATTAACGCCCCAAGACGATGACCTTTACCTTTTAGATCCAAATACATAGAAACTCATTGAAGTCTTCGTCATCCCAAGCAAATTGAAGAGGAAGGAAAGCAGACAAATGGAATTGGGTGGGGTCCGGAGTTTTTCACGAGATCTTACCCTTTTCAAAATGGCAAACGAGAAAATTCTCAACGAGCCTATCATATGCAGCTATCAGTTAATGATAAGTGAATTGGCAGAAAGCAAAGTGACAAAAAATTCGACAAGAAATGTTCGTAAAAAGACCAAAAAACAGTAGTGGAGGCGGGTAAAAGATATCAGGTAACATATCGATGGGAAAAAGCCAACAATGGTTTTCAAAAAGCAAATTCATTCCTCAGCTACGTCCATTTTATTCCAAAATCGCAAAACAAAAGTTCTGAACAATTTTCGAGTTTACATAGCAACTGCGTACCTTTTCGCATTATTCAATACTTGGCATAGCTACGTTGCTACGAGAAAAAAGCTAAAAATCGTTAAGGGCAGAAGTTGCATAGGGCTTATCGACTTTATATCTGGATGAATATTTGGCTATATCTACTCTAGGCATGGGAAATTTCTTTAGTACCCGAAAGCATAAGCCCTTGACTGGGACGGAACCGGGTAAGTTCGCTAGCCTACCTAAATTACTATTGAGGGATGGGAAAGGACGAGGAAGTCCTTCTGAGAAGGCCATCTTCCTGAATGGTGCTCGTGCTCCTGTCAATGAAGAGCTAATCATAGAAAATTCCGGACAAATGGCTTTCACCAAATGAAACTATTAGCGAGAGGCAACATACGAAACGTGGAAATGATGGCCAACTCCAAATTGGAAGCGAATGAGGTGCGTCTGGCTCTGCTAGCTGTGTCGACGGACTTTTCAACGCCATGAATTCAATGCTACACTAAGCGATGAAGCAATATGTGATAGACGGCCATTATGGTGTGATGATTCCAAAATTGAGAATACATTTTTATACTGTTTAATGAAATTCTCTACAAGGAAAAGACGACCACTTGGTGACCACTCGTAAAAAAAGGAAAATAGGAGATATCCTAAGAAGAGTTCAAAGGACGGTAATCGTATGCAGCCTGCGACGGCACCTTCTGCATAAGCAGGGTGTGGGTAACGAAGGGACACT